GCCGAGGGGAAAGGGCGGGCAGCGGGACGGGCAGGGGCTGTGTAAAGGGGGGCCCCTGCGGCTGCCACGGGGGGAGTCCGCTTGTGGGCGGGTGGCGAGGGGCTGCCTGCGGGGGTTTTGTCCCCCTTTGGGGCCGAACTTACTCTTGTCAGGGTACTCTGTGCGCCGCACTGGCAGCACTAAAGTCTGCGTAGGTGAGATTTTCATTAAGGAGGGATCACAGCAAGGCGCAAGAATTCAGCCCGGGTCTCTCCGCCGTAGGCAGGTTAGCTGGGCAGTGCTGGCGCAGGGAAATGGCACAAAGCGTCAAAAGGTGCAGTCGAGGAGCCGGGCTCAGATTTGGAAACATGGAGCACCCTGCAGGGTCAGGGAGCCCCGTGTGCAGGAGGCAGCGTACTTGGGAAGCTGTGCTGCACGAGAGTTAGAAATCTGCTTGCCTCCCTCCCTCCCCGGTATTATAATTTGCTTTTTAATGTAGCCGACGTTCCAGAAAGCAGCCAAAAATCCAGTCAAGTTCTGTAGTGTTGCTCCCTCTTTCTTACAAAGTAGGCTGTTTCTTAATTTCCTCACATATCTCATTGTTATTTGAGGGTGCAGCCCGCATGGGAACTGGGGCAGCAGCAGTCGGTAAGGGGAGCAGGTGGGAAGGCTTTTGCACAGTGTTGCACTACCCTGCAAGAAAAGGAATTTGCCCAGGAGGGACCACAAGAGCAAGCACGACTTACTGGTGTGATGTGACCACCTGACAGGGTGAGGAAAGCAGAGCATCAGGTCACCTGTCCTTGCTCCCAGGTTTTTCTCCTGCATTTTAGGTTGGACATGAGGCTGGATAAAACCTCAGCCTTGCCAGTGTGGATGACAACATACCTTTGCCTCTTCCCAGCTGAACAGTAATAGCGAGGCTGCGCTGTAAGCATGGGGGACATACCTCATCACCAAACCCTTCTCTTTCCACAATAGTCTTCGGAGAGGAAATATTGGTGTCTTGCTCGTTATCTGAGCAAATATGTAGACACCTCATTTCTAGAATGGTTCCAGGGCTGTGGGTCCCAGATGAACAGAGGTGACCCCCAGTGGTCAAGATTCATCCCTTCATGGCCTGCCCTTCTGTGAAGTCTGGGCTGATTTATACAGTTACCCTCTCAGCATGCCAGCTGTTTCTAATGCTGTTCAGGGGTGCCTAACGTGGCTTCACGGGCAGCTGAGCTGGCATGACAGCTCCCCTCTGCCCATAGAAAAATGTCTCACTGACCTCTCCTTTTTACTCCTTCCCATCTTCAGTATTCTGTCTTCTTCACTCCCTTTACTTGTGGCTGTAGCACCATCCTCATGCCAGTGTGGGAGCAATTAAGACTGCCAAGCTGGTCAAATTCGCTAAAGGGACAGAAAATTCTGGCTTTTTTTTTTTTTTTCTGGAAGAGTGGTTTGTCATTTTGGTGAATTCGATTGTCTGACGGAGTGGTCCAGCCAGTGCTGGAGTCAGCAGCTTGTAATACCATCACCTGTATCTCCTCACTTACTTTCCAGCATGGATTGCAGGATTAGGGCTGCCCAAATGTAGGCTCTATTGCTGAAATTGTTCTTACTTAACCTGCCCACTCGCATGCATGAAGCCTGCAGCAGAGCCAGCACAGTGCTCTGGTCACAGTAGGACGTTCTGTCATGTCCTGACAGCTAGTGGAGAACTTGAAATGTTAGCAAACAGCTCTGAACAGTTGCTGCATGCTTCCCGGTTTTGACTGTTTGAAAAAGAAAATGTTACAGTTGCTTACAAACTCATAGCTTGGCTAAGGGTCCCTTAGTTGTTAGAGCAAAGGACTGCATCTAGGCTGTCGAGACAGGGGTGTGCTGATTCATGGCACACCACATTTAACGTGCTGTGCTTGTCATTCCCACCAGAAACCTTAGAGCCGTGTTTCCTTCCCACAGAATCTGAATAGGAGAGTAAGAAAAGTGTGGGTCATGTGCAGCTGATGCTCCCAGTCTAGCCACAGTCAGAATGGAATATAGTACAGTATGTCAGGTGTGATTACTTTAATTGGAAGTATAGTAATTATCCTGCATAGCTGGTCTCCTGGGATAGG